GAAAGGACAGCTTTTTCACAAATGGTGCTGGGACGACTGGACATCCAGATACAAAATAAGTTGGAGACTTATCTTGACACTATCTGCAGTGGTTAGCTCAAGGTGGGTCAGTGGCCTAGTAGAAAACCTAATAAAATTGTAAAACTCATAGAAGAAAACATAGGACCTAAGCTTTACAACATTGTATTTGGCAGTGACTTCTTGGACAGGATGACAACAGTATGGGCTACAAAAGAAAAAATAGACAAACTGGGATGTCACTAGAATTAAAAAGTTTTATGCATCAGAAGACATGATCTCCTCATTCTGTTCTTAACCCCCTCTCACAGCTGTACTTGACTAATCTAAAGACAGAAAAAGATACTATCAACAGAGTGAAAAGGCATTCTGCAGAATGGGAGAGGTGAGGATAGCTGCAAATCCTGTGTCTCACAGGGAATTACTATCCAGAATATATTAAGAAGTCCTACAACTCAACAACAAAGGCAAGCAACCCTGTTGAAAAATGAGCAAAGGACTGGAATAGACATTTCTTCAAAGAGGATATACAAACTGTCAGTGAGCACATAAAATATTCTGAGCATCACTAGTCATTATGGGAAATGCAAATCAAAACCAAAATGAGATACCACCTCACTATCCAAAAAACAGAAAATAACATTTTGGTGAGGATGTGGAGAATGTGGAACCCTTGTACATTGTAGCCTCTGCAGAAAACAGTATGGAAGTTTCTCAGAAAAGTAAACATTGAGTTAACGCATGATCTAGCAACTCCATTTTTGAGTGTATGCTCAGAAGAATTGAAAGTAGGGTCTTGAAGATGTATTTGTGCACCTTGTTCATAGCAGTATCATCCACAACAGCCAAAACATGGAAGTGTCCATCGATGAATGGTAGATAAGTAAAATCTGGGGTATACACACAATGGAGTATTATGCAGCCTTGAAAAAGGAAGAAGTCCTGACACAGGCTCTAAATAGATGAACCTTAAGGACATTATGCTAAGTAAAATGAGTGAAAAGGGCAAATCCTGATTCCATTAACCAGGAGGAGTCCACAAGAATTTGGAATTATTTTTTGGAGGGGAAGCTCCTCGTAGTATAGGCTTCCCCCGCTAAGTGAATATTCTGGGAACCCACTGGCATCTGTGTACCAGCTAGTGTTGTGAGAGGCTGCAATTCAGCTTTGGTTGATTTTTTTGGCTGGAGATTTTTTTCAGTGAGTTTGCCCATTTCATGATGGGTGCTTTACGAGTGCATCTGTCCACACCATGCTGAGTTTTGAATAGGTTTTGACCAAGGACAGCATAACCCTGTGCCCCACCCTCCCATTCATGCAGTCTCACTCCGAGTAACTTTTTGTTTGTTTCCCTGGATAAAAATAGTCCTCAAAGGGAAACGTTTTTGCTGATGTGGAAGAGGTGGAACAAAAAAGGGCAGAAGCACTAAAAGGCATCAATATGGACGAGTTCAGACACTGTTTTGAGCAGTAGAAAAAGCATCTCGATAGGTGTGTTGCATCAAATGGAGTACTTTGAAGGTGAGTGATGTTAAACGTAAGAATAAATAGTTTTTTATAAATAGATTCCGGTTTTTTTGTGGTTCTCCCCTCGTGTATGAGGTCCCTAGAATAGTCAGATTGGTAGAGCCAGAAAGTATAATGGAGGGTGATGCGGGGGAGTGAAAAGTTAGCGTTTAATGGGGTGGAGTGTCCATTTTACAAGATGGAAGGCATGTGGAAGGAGATGGTGGCGATGATTGTGCAGCATTTGGAATGTGTTTAATACCACTGAGCTGTACACTTACAATGAAGATGGTAAATTGCGTGGCATATGTGCTTTACCGTGGTAAGAAAATGGAACAAATAAACTTACATCGAAAAGCAGTTTGCGTGTTCATGCTGAGGCAGAATTGTAGATCATTGCTGTGTGCAGAGCTTGTTGCACTTGGTGGCCAGTGACAGTGGACAAGCCCAGAGAGGAGGCCTTCCCCTTTACTGTGAGAGTTGGGTACCCATGCCTTCTGCATTGGTGGGTGGCAGCAGTGCCAGATTTTGAGCCCAGATGGACCTGGGCCTCCACGTGGACTTGTCCGACGGGAAGGAAGACAGTGGCTCCAGTGGCAGGGGACAGTCTTATGGGGCTATTGCCCAGGGGTGAGGCTGGCTGGGCCCTGCTGCCTGTGGCCTGGGGGAAGAAGCCCTTCCCTACCCAGAGCAGCTGTGGCGGTCACGCAGGCTGCTGGGTTCTGTGCACCTCTTACCTCCCACACCTGCACTTCTTCCCACCCACCTCTCTCCTCTGGAGCCTGCCACCCTTCTTCCTCATCCACACCTCTTCCGCCAAGCACCCAAGCCTTTCTGCAGAGCAGCTGGGCAGTGCCCGCCCCCATCCCACACCCACTTTCCCTCCTGGCACTGTTTCTCCTGGAACCGTCTGTTCCACGCTGCTCTGTGCTAGGGTCTCCCAGAGCGTCCTGTGAGATGCTGGTCAGTGACATGAGTCTTTGCTCAAGGTCCTAAGCACTCCCCCATCGCCCTCCCCCACCTTCCCTGGTGTTCTCCGCCTATGAGGCTCCTGGGCCAGACCCTGTCCACAGGGTACTTGTGAGGTCTGGACTGCACATTCTCCACGAGGGAGGCGTTGGAGTCTCTTCTAAACTTCCCACCAGCCTTCCTTTCTTCTGGGCCGTGTTCACACTGTTATCTCACACTGTGGCTCAGGGCCAGCTTGCCTGGAGACCGGGGCAGCTCCTCTTCATACACTTCAGTTACTTCTAAAAGTTGCTCACAGACGTTTCTCTGCTAGTTACTAGTAGAATGAGTTTTATGCTTCCCAAACATGGATTTCATGCATGTACTAATTAGCCCAGTAAGAAAACACCATTAGTAGTAGAACATTGTAGTTCCTTGGGTTCCAGCAGACCGGCCTCCTGACTTGGTTCCTCGGCACGTGAAATGCGGGCCTGTCTCCTGTGTCCTCATGCTGCCGTTCATGCTGGAGTGAGCACACTTTCTCAGGGCACAGAGAGTAAATATCCGAGCCTTTGTGGGCCATGCGCTCTGTGTCAGCTAGTCATGCTGTTGTAGTGAACACCGGTGTAGACGTGCATAGACAATGGGTGTGGCTGTGTGCCAGTTTCGAAGCTTTATTTATAAGCAGGTCCATGTCCTGATTTATTATAAGAGTAAACCACGTGAGATGAAATAAGAATAATCTGGTAGGAAAGTACACAGTCATCCCTCAGTAGATGTGGGATCTGGTACCAGGAGCCCCTCCTCACATGTGTCCCCTGCTCAGCCCTACAGAGCCTGGGTATATGGAAGTCAGCCTTCTGTATGTTTGGGTTTTGCATCCTACAAATGCTGTATTTTTAAAAAAATCTGTTTGGCTGAAAGAAAAATCTGCCTGTAAGTGAACTTGTGCAGTTCAAACCCATGTTGTTCAAGGGTCAGCTGTTTGTCTCTTTAAAGCCGAGGGACTTAAGCGTTATTAACTTTGGGCCTCCTGCCCCTCACCCCCAGAAAACCTTTTCGGAATATCAAAATGTTGACGACAGTAGGTACAGTGTTCTCAGGGCTGTCCAGGGCTTCTGTGGCTGAGCTCAGTGGTACTGACCTGTCCCCTGTCCTGGTATGTTCAGCAGAGCTGAGTATCCACAAGGTAGATCGTGTGCTCAGAGCCCGCCCCAGTGAACACACTGCAGGATACACAGGGTGATTGTTCCCCAGCCCTTACAGCCCCGGGCACCTTCTAACCCAGGACTAATGTACCTCAGAACCCACAGCATCTGTCAGCCTGTGTACCTGCCTATTTTGGACAGTCTGTCCTGTGGATATTCCTCCAAAGTGTCCTTTCTACATTTTGTAGAACTAAAGACGTGTGTGTGTGTGTGTGTGTGTGTGTGTGTGAGAGAGAGAGAGAGAGAGAGAGAGAGAGAGAGAGAGAGGAGGAGTCTCACTGTGTTGCCTGGGCTGGCGTTGAACTCCTGGCCTCAAGCGATCCCCTCACCTCGGCCTTCTCAGTAGCTGGGATTATAGGCATGAGCCATTGCACCCAGCTTAAGACATTATGTATTTTTTTCCCAGCCCTTTAGTAGTTTGTTTTATGGTAAAGTAATGGTTTTGGCTCTTCTCTTTTTTCCTCTGAATCTTGGAATTTTTTAAAAAGTAAAATATTGTGAAGAGCCTCATTTTATAAAACCCCTCAGACTTAGAGCTCTTTGTTAGAATGGGGCTGGGAGCCCTCCGTCCCTTCCTCACTGCTGCCTCTTGTTTGGAAGCTGCTGTTTCGAGGCCCCAGATGCTTGCTCCTTCCCTTCCTCGCCCTCTTGTCTTTGAGTAGTGAGCTGGACAGTAGCTTCAGGGACCTTCTTCCCAGGTCACTGGACTGCAGAGGGAGGAGGATGGTGTTGGAGAAGGGTCCTGGGGATGGAGGGTCCTGGGGATGAGGGGTCCTGGGCTGCAAAGCTGCAGAGGTGGACGCACGGCATTGAGGCCATGGGCCGGACTCCTTGCTACAGAGTCCGGGGAAGACTGTCCTGGACTGACCCCGTGGCGTGAGTGAGACTGGCTTCTCTGCTCGGCCCCATGTCCTGTGCGTGCTGTTCGTGTTGACGTGCTTGGCAAAGTGAGAGGACTTCTCAAGGGTGAGGGTTTCATGTGCTGGAAGCCCCGGAGCCTGGGAGAGGGTGGTATTCCAGGGCTTGCTAGCACAGGTTTGTGGCTTTCCTGCCTGTAAGTGGGTGGGGTGTGTGCATGGTATCCTGCTGTGAGTGGAGCAGGAGCAGGTGAATGGCTGCTCCCGGAGCGTGGGCTGCCTGTCCCTGCAGTGCTACTGGCCTGGGAAGGATGCCTGTGGAGATGGGGTTTGCTGGTGATGTTGGTGATTGGGTTTTGTGAACTGTCTCCTACCTTTAAAAATCATTTGAATGGTGTTTCTTTTCCTTTCTTGTCCCCTTTTGACTTTTTTTTTTTTTTAGCTTGCTTGCCTTTTGTTTTAGCAGCTGCAGTATCTCGGAAGAAAAAACGAAGAATGGGAACCTATAGCCTGGTTCCTAAGAAAAAGACCAAAGTATTAAAACAGAGGACGGTGATTGAGATGTTTAAGAGCATAACTCATTCCACTGTGGGTTCCAAGGTAAGAGGGTGGCTGAGTAATTTGCCTCGTGTGCTTGGAGGTAGTTTCTGTGTTTGGGACTTGGCTATCCGTAGTTTGGATGTCCTTGGTCCCTGGGAAGGCACCAGTGCTCTAAGCCCCTCTGCTCTAGGGACACTGCCTCTGTGTTGGTAGGGGTCGTTGGAGACCCCCACCCACCTTGCCTTCCTTTCCCTGAATTCCTCTGCAAGCGGGAGGACGCCTCTCGCTGCGCCTAGCCCCATAGGCCTTCACGCTCCCAGTCACCCGGGCCCCGGTATGAAAGCGGCTCGTCCATGGCAGGCAGTGGCTCTGCCTTGGTGCGAACACCTGCCGTGTTCCAGGGCGAGAAGGGCCTGGGCGACAGCGCCCTCCACATGAACGGGGAGAGCCTGGAGCTGGACTCAGAGGAGGAGGACTCAGAAGAGCTGGAGGAGGACGACGGGCAGGGGGCCGAGCAGGCGGCCGCGTTCCCCACGGAGGACAGCAGGACACCCAAGGAGGGCATGTCTGAGGCCGACCACACCCAGAAGGTGGGTGCCCGCACGGGGACGAGAATCACAGAGTTGCCGGTCGGTTCTCAGTGAGCCAGATTCCCTCTTGGACTTATGGTGTTTTTGTCTGATTTCTCTGAAACTGTGAGATTAGTTCATTTCCACTCGCAAAGAGTTTTCTTCCATAACAGCATTCATGGGAGCAAGCCTCTTGAGCTGCTTCTAGGCTGTAGCTTGGGGGATAGTAATGCTACTAACTCAGGTTATTAATTGACAGCTTGCCGTGGCCCAGCTTGTGATGGGTCTTGCATGCTCTGGGTTGCATGTCTTCATGCAAAAAGATTAAATGCTGATAAATGAAAGAGAATACTTCATACATGTTGGAGATTGTTCCCCCAGTGCATGAGGCAGACTGAAAAAGCTAATCAACAAAACACATTTTCAAGTAAGTCACTGTTGAATGATTCGCCTGGACTTCTCTACCTACCACTAGGCCAGAGCCTCAGTCCCTCCTTGTGGGGCATGCATTTAGGGCCATTTGGTCAGCCTGTGGAATGGTGTGTGAGGTTCTGCCGACAACCTGGGGGGGTCACAGATGGGCCAGGTGGGACAGACTTGTCCTGTGCCCACCTGAGGACGGGCACTAGCTACACCCTTGGTCTTGTCACTGTTACACTGTTGCCCTGTCCAGGAGTGGGTGCCTGGGCCTGGCATCTCAGGGGAACTGAGGACATTCTTAGAAATGCAATTTCTGAGTAGGCCTTGACGTTTAGGCTTAAATTCATGCCCTTTCTGTTCTGAGAGGGGTAAATTGGAAGTGACACATTTGACAAGAAAGATCAAGGAAAAGTTAAGAATCAGGCTGACATGAATATCTGCAGTTTTATTGTTCAGGTATATCCTACGTTTTTGAGAAGACTTTCAGCCATCTTCATTTAAGATGAGTATTATAGGCTGGGCGTGGTGGCTCACGCCTATAATCCCAGCACCTTGGGAGACCAAGGTGAGAGGATTGCCTGAGCCCATGGGTTCAAGACCAGCCTGGGCAACTTGGTGAGACCTCATCTCTACAATAAATTAAAAAAAAAATTAGCCAGGCGTGGTGGTGTGTGCCTGTAGTTCCAACTATTTGGAAGGCTGAGGCAGAAGGGTCACCTGAGCCCAGCAGGTCAAGACTGTGGTGGCCGTGAGTGTGCCCGTGCACTCCAGCCTGGGCGACAGAGTGAGACTCCAACTCTTCCCCCCCCCCCAAAAAAGATTAGTATTATATCTAGTGAGTTACTCTAAAACTAGTGGTAGGTAGAGAAGTCCAGGCAAATCATTCAACAGTGACTTACTTGAAAATGTGCAGTTTTGTTGATTAGCTTTTTCAGTCTGCCTCATGTGCTGCGGGCACAACCTCCAACATGTATGAAGTATTCTCTTTCATCTATCAGCATTTAATCTTTTCTTATTTTTCTTTCAATTTCAAACTCAGCTTTAGCAATTATGCCTGTTCTACTTTTTTAACAGGGTTTAGGGCAGATTTAAAATCTTGCTGCCCCCTCTTATTTATTCAAAAGTAAATTGGTAGGAAATGTTGCCAATAGAGATTTAAAGAGACTTTAAATATATTTATTAGTTTTTTTATTTTTATGTGAAGAAGTATAAGGAAAAAAATAAGTAATATCGTACTCTCATTTGCCAGATGGCCCTGGGTATACTTTTTTTTTTTTAAAGCAGGATTTATTGAGAGAACAGAAAAGCTCCCAGAGTAGGAGAGGACCCGAGGGGTTACCTGCTCTGGGCATACTTTAAAATGCCCGTTATCATAGCCTTCTCACCCACGGCCAGCATATAGTATCCTCCCTGAAGGAGGCTGTCCCGGGTTTCACAGGAGGAGGCAGGGTCCTGTCCCAGCGATATGCCTGCCCTCCTGTCTCCTTGCTTGACTTGGTCTCAGTACACACTTCTCGTCCTCTTGAGTTGTCAGCTGCAGCATCTGTTACAAGCAATACTTCAGGGCATTTAGCATCAGGCTTTTGTTTCATATACTCGTGGATAATGAGTGTCGTCTGCATCTAAAACGCAGCATCTGAATATTGCCAGATCCCCCTTGAGTTTATCCTCCTGCCTGCAGGTATCTGAAAGGCACTTTCCTCACCCTCCCCAGCAGGTCCGTGCTCTCGGGGTGCCAGTGTTTTCAGTCGAGCTTTGCGGGGCTGGGTGGCTGCCCACGTGTTTGCTGCCACTGGGGTTTGTTCTTCTGTGAGCCACTTGCTGAATATCCTTTGCCTGCTCTTCCATTGGGTTGCGCATCTTTTGAAAATGTCGTCTCGTCAGCTTGTGTAAGAGTAGAGTTGATCTGTTGGCTTCAGTGTGCACTGAGGTTCTTTCCCTCTGTGGTTTCTGTCTTTTGACCTTGTCTGTAATGTCAGAACTCACAGGTACTAGTCGTTTCCTTATGATTTCTGGGTTCTGTGTTCTAATTATGATAAACAAATCTTTCTCACTGGTAATTTTGAATGAATTGATGTAAGCTGTCTTCTAATACTTCTTTCATCTCATCCTTTTATATAAGTATTTGATTCATGTAGAATTAAAATGTCATGTAGATACACTCAAAAAGGGTGGTTTTTATGGTATATTAATTATATCACAGTAAAGCTTTTAAAATAAAATGTGAGGTAAGGGTCCCAGACCTCCCCTCAAAATGGTTAGGCAAATGTTTCAACGCCATTTATTGACTTGACATTTCTTTTCCCTTCTGATTTAAAATGCCACCTTTGTCATATACCATATGGCATATGAATTTGAGTCTAATTCTGGATTCTGTCTTTTGATTGATGTTCCCATCTTCCAGAGAGAATCTAGGCACTGAATAACTCTAAGTATTGATATAAAGTAAAACATTAAATGACTATAAAGCCAAGAAAAGAATCAAGAAGCAAAAGGCATAGCCAAAAAAAAAATGTGGTTAATGCAAACCAAAATAAGATGATAGGAACAAACCTAAATAGATCAGCAATAACAATAACATTGTAATAGTTTTATGATGTTACCTGTTCGGAGAACAGAGAAAGATAGAGAAAAGTACACCAGCCCATTCTGAAACTATGCTACCAGCTACATTTACTTAAACTCCTAAATACAATAGTCCTAAATAAAATATTAGTCAAATGCAGCCATGTTTTAAAATAATAATGATTATAAGGAAGTAGTAGGTTTACCCTAGGAAGAGATTGATTCACTACTAGAACCCGATCAAGAAGATTTATTGGATTAACAAAATAATTGTATGTGTATAAAAGGCATTTTGTGGCTGGGCACGGTGGCTCACATCTGTAATCCCAGCACTTTGGGAAGCTAAGGCAGGAGGATTGCTTGAGTCTAGGAGTTCGAGACCAGCATGGGCAGCATAGCAAGACCTCGTTTCTACAAAAAAATAAAAAGAATTAGCCAGACATGATGGTGCATGCCCATAGTCCCAGCTACTTGGGAGGCTGAGTTGAAAGGATCCCGTGAGTCCAGGAGGTCGAGGCTCAGTGAGGTGTGATCATGTCCCTGCACTCCACCTGGGTGACAGAGTGAGACTATGACTCAGAAAAAACAAACAAACAAACAAAAAAACAAGCATTTTGTAAAAGTTCAGGTAACTTAATGCTTTTTGAATTTGCAGGGATTACGTTATAAATGTACAGTAATAAAAGGTATAGTCCATGGAAGAGTTCTTTTCAAAGTGGTCTGGGGGATTCTCTAAGACCTGTTCGGGGGAGTCTACAAGGTCAAAACTATTATTATAGTAGTTTTGAGGTTGTTTACCTTTTTTGCTCTCATCCAGTGATGTTATACACAATGATGTCTTTGCTGTGGTGGCTGATAGGTTGTCCTTGTGGTGTGACCATTTCTCATCTTAAATTTCTATTATGCTAAATGTTGATAGATATCACTCATATTAATAGCTCTTTTTGGCTCTTGGCACTTTTTTAGAGAGACCAGAGTATTTGGGATCCACCATGACACAGTGTTCTTTGTCTGACTGTGTCCGGTGTTGGTTTCCTTTCCACTATTGATGAACCTTTGTCTTGTTGCCAGTGAGGCTGTTATACGTGGTACTGCATGTGTGTGGTTCCTTGGGTGTGCGCCCGGGAGTGGTCCCACCATGCCTTACATTAGCATTTGTAGGCACTTCCATGTGACTTTCCACCATGGTGGTTACACCAGTCAACCTTCCTCCTGGCTGCCTATGAGTGCTCCACCTGCCGTACTGGCTTGCCACGTGAGTTGTAGTGGCATTACATTATAGTTTTAATGTGCATTTCCTGATATCCAAGAAGATGCAGTACTGTTCCATATGACTATCAGCCACGTGGATGCCTTTTGTGAAGTGCCTGTTCATGTCTCAGCTGTTTATCTGTTGTGTGGTTTGTCCTTTTTGGAAAACATTTTGCAGGAGTTCTTTGGCTTGGAGAGGACCCCTTTCTGTATAGCCAGTGTGGCATCTTGCCTTCTTGCCTTTTCACAAGAACTGTTGGTGTCCCTGTCTAGCCATTCAGACTGGAAGCCACCCACAAGGACTTGGTGTAGGGTGGCTGGGTGTGGCTGCCACTATGGATGGTGGTCACGGGAGAGCTGGACCCACAGTATTTAGCCCGAAGCCATAGCTAGGCCTGCTGACCAGAGTTTGCCCTGCTGGGCCAGGACCGGCAGGTGCTGGCAGAGGCTGAGTGAGGGTAGCTCTGGGTCTCCAGCCTGCCCCTGCCGGGATAGATGCAGGAAGCATCCTGACCAGGTCTTGGCTTGCTCTCTTCCTGGTTCACTCAGGTTTCAGTGCTCAGTGTACCGGCATTGACTCCAGTCCCTTGTTGTTTCCTACTCTTCTGTTGGCTGTTATGCCTTCTCTTTCCAGTTGCCTTGGGGTTCCAGCATGGGCCTTACCCCTGACAGCCGTCATATGTGCAGTGCTCAGGAAGCTCTCTTACAACACAACTCTTACTCCTCCTTCTTTATGGTCACTTTACCGCAGTTTTGGAAGGAAGTGGAATTAACTCTTGTTAGTCTGCCTCTTTTAATTGGTAGTTTCCTTTCTCTCTTTTAAAATGGAAAAAAGTCACCCAATTAACTAAAGCTGACTAATGATGTCAGAAGCCTGCAAAAATGGTCATATTTAAGTTCAAAACATTTCTGTTGTCAGTCATAAAAAGGGTAGATTGCTGCTCTTACCTTGGACATGAACCCAGCAGCGTGAACTGCTCTTTTTTTTTTAAATTTTTTTTTTTTTTTAGCGTGGACTGCTCTTGCTGATTATGTAAGGGAGAAACCAGAAAGAAACGTTAATATTTCAAAACGTGACGGGGAAGAGTTTCCTGAGAATATAATCATCCATCCAGAACATCTAGGAAAATCAACAAAAAAAAACCTCATAGCTAGTGAACTGAACTTAACAGGTGATCATTTTCTTGTTTAGCTATACTAACCAGTTAGAAAATGAGGTGTCAGCCGGGCTCGGTGGCTCAGCCTGTAATCCCGCGCCTTTGGGAGGCTGAAGTGAGTGAATTGCCTGAGCCCGCGGGTTTGAGACCCGCCTGGGCAACTTGGCGAGACCTCATCTCTACAATAAATCAAAAATCAGCCGGGCGTGGTAGCACGCGCCTTATAGTACCAGCTACTTGGAAGGCTGAGGTGGAAGGATCGCCGGAGCCCAGCAGGTCCGGAGCCCAGCAGGTCGAGGCTGCGGTGACCAGGAGCGGCCACTGCACTCCAGTCTGGGTGACAGAGTGAGACTCCAACTCAAAAAAACCAAAACAAAAAACAAAAAAAAACAACAAAAAAAGAAAATGAGGTGTCAGCAATATCAGTTAAATCATAATGCCTCAGGGTATTTTAAAAGCTTTTCTAGGTAGAGTTTCAAGGCATGCAGACATACAGAGAAGAGCAAGCAGCCATCAGTGCTTGGCCAGTCTTCATCTCTGCCTGGGTTGTCCTGAAACAGACATTTCAGTATGGGTCTTTAAAAGAGAAGGACTCTGAAAAACAAGCCACGGTGTTACATCTAAAAAAATTAGCTGTAATTTCTTAATATCATCAGGGTATGGAATAAATTTAGCACAAAATGTGTGTTCTCTGTTAATATAAGAAGAAAGCTATAAAACTTGGATGAAAGAGGTTAAAAAAAGACTTAGGTTTGTGGAAAGACCCATTATATACCTGAATGAGATTCATCATTTTATTCTCCCTCTGTTTATTTGTAAATTCAGAACAGTTCTCATTAATACTCTGCAGACTTCTTGTAGAGCTGCTGATTCTACAGCCACTATGGCATTCTGCCACTCCTAGAACGCCTTGTGCGCTGATTGTCATTGGAGCAGTGATCTTCCACACCCAGGCAGTATGGATGTGGAGCTCCTTATGGACGGCTGTGGGGATTGTGCACAGCAGGAGTGGAGAGAGAACAGTGTCCATTATGCAGAGGTGGTCAAAGCAGGGAGTGAGCGAAACAGAATTTGTAGTAAACCTATTTGTATATAAAGATACACTGTTGTGTAAGAGTGGGCTTAAATCAGTGGTCAAGGAGTCATGAAGTTTTTAATTTTTGAGTTGTGGTCTCACTGTGTCCCAGGCTGGAGTGCAGTGGCACCATCACGGCTTACCACAGCCTCAACCTCCTGGGCTCAAGCAGTCCTCTTGCCTGAGCCTCCCACGTAGCTGGGATTACAGATGTGCACACCATGCCCAACTATTTTTTTTTATTTTTGTAGACATGGGAGGGGGAGGGAGTCTCACTACATGGCCCAGGCTGATCTTGAACTCTTGGGCTGAAGCGGTCCTCCTTCCTTGGCCTCCCAAAATGCTGAGGTTACAGGCATGATCTGGCCAGGAACATTTTGAATAAATATTATTGGGACAATTGACTAATCTTTTGGGGAAAAACAAGTTGATGCTTGCATCACGGTGTACATAAAATATAAACTCTGTTCTGGGGATTGTTGCACAACTCTACTGAAAACCACTGAATTGTGTGCTTTAAATGGTCAGCTTTAGAGTAGATGAATTATAGCTTAGGCTAGCTGTTATTTAAAAGAGCAAATTCCAGAAGATTTAAAGTATCAACACAAAATATTGAACTGTGCATAAAAATACTGGAAACTATTTTTCTTTTTTTTTTTTTTTTTTGAGTTGGAGTCTCACTCTGTCGCCCAGACTGGAGTGCAGTGGCCGCTCCCGGCCACCACAACCTCCCCTGCTGGGCTCCGGCGATCCTTCCGCCTCAGCCTTCCAAGTAGCTGGAATTACAGGCATGCGCTACCACGCCCGGCTGATTTTTTGATTTATTGTAGAGATGAGGTCTCACTGCCCAGGCGGGTCTCGAACCCGCGGGCTCAGGCAATCCACTCACCTCAGCCTCCCAAAGGCGCGGGATTACAGGCTGAGCCACCGAGCCCGGCTGGAAACTATTTTTCTAATCTCAAATGAAGAAGGCCTTCCAGTGCAAGACACAAACCTGGATTCCATGAGAGGAAAGGTGGACATCTTTGACTTTCTCAGGTAACATTTAGAAGTTTTATGTAATAAGAAATATAAGAAGCAGAACTTGATAGAAAAAACACTGATAACATATTTAACAGACAAACGGTTACTGTCCCATGAGTGTGTGAAGTGTATGTAGTATCTACAAACAAATAAAAAGACAAGGACCCAGTAGAAAAGTGAGAGCAAGACAATAGAAAAAACAGAAAAGTGCAGTGAAGTTACAGAAAATACTCCGGTCACTTTGTGCTTTGGGAAATGAGACTCCTCTGAAAGGTGAGTGGTACCTCTGTGGGCCTTGCTGGCTAGAGGGAGCAGTTGGAGAGGGCTGCGCCCCTGGTCTCAGGAACCCCACATCCAGGGATCCGTCCTCTGCAGGTAGCAGATGCATCTGTCTGTCTGTCTGTCCTGGAGTGTCTTGGCTTGTGTAAAACACACCCTTGATGTGAAGTTACACAGGTGCCTGCTGCTGAGGGACTGCAGAAAGCAGTGCGGTAACCACAGAAGGAGACCACCTCCCTGCCTTGGGGGGGGGTGCGTGGAAACTCACACGTGTGCCCTTTGCACTGAGCATCGTGTATTCCTGTACTACCCGTGCAGACAGCAAAGACAAAGACAGCAGGAAAATAAGGAGTGTCTGGTTTGATGTGGAAAGAACTCCAAAACGTGGTTTTAATAAGAGGAAGATAATATTCACAGAACTGTGCTCAGTGCCCTGCCATCTGTACAAATAGGAGCGCCCTCTCACCTGTGGGCCCACGCAGGCCTGGACGTTGCTGGAAGGAGACCTGGGAGCTTAGTGTGGCTGCTCCAGGGCTGGCCAGGGTCTTGGGTGTGTGGGGACGGGGTTTTTTTGCTTTGTGTGTTGTGCTTTATGACCTTTTCATTGAATCCTGCCACTCCTAGAATGCCTTGTGTGCTCTAGTCTTCCCTGGAGCAGTGGTCTCCAGTGCCCAGTGAAAGAGCTCATGCTGAGTACTTGCTGGGCAGCTGCCCTGGGTATGCTATGGAGACATGCTGGAGGTGCAGCTCTGTCT